TATGAAATATATATATATATATATATTTGCAAACAAGATAGCTTCAATGCATCCATTTTTCTTCTATTCTCCCTTTACAATCTCACAGACATATGAAACTACTAAAATGATCATGACTTGAGCCAGCCTTCTGAAAACAAATTTATGTATGCAGACTCCTTGAGAGCACTTAAAAAAAATCCATGTAGTAAAAAAAATGAAGGCAGTATGCTTTTGGGTTTTTTTAGATTGTACAGAAGAATTAAATACTACCCAATCTGTGTCATCTTTACAATTATTTCTGTTTGAGCTTATAATTGCAGTCACAGTGTCAATACATGCCACAGAGGGTTTTCCTTTTTTCACTTGCCCTCTACAAGTGTGATACACTTCTCCAAGAACTAGTTCTCTCTGATAACACAGCCAAGGTACTTGAGAAAAATTGTCACTCTCCTAGCTTCTAAGGAACATTCCAGCTATACTTCATCCAAGACACATTTGCTCATTCTTCAATCAGTTCATGGTATGTCCAATATTTTTTGTCTATACTATGATTAAAATGCATCAGTTCTTTTCTGGCCCTTCTTATTCATTGTCCAGCTTTTGCATTATATGAATCGTGATAGCATGGTCTTCTGACAATGTGGCTGGGTTAGGATCCTTGGTGGCTTTTCAATTAAGCTCTAGAAACCCCTTATGAAGAAACAAAAGATCATTAAAGTAAAGTCAAATTAAAAAAAAAAAAAAAAGATCAGCATGGATATCAGGATGGACTAGGTCAGTCATGTGGAAGAATTTTTGAAGACAAACAGCTGAATAGAACATTTCAAAGGGGAACTTGAAAAGGAAAAGCATTTTAATAAAATGTTAAATGACTTGGAATTAGAAAAAAATAAAAAAAGAACACAATCAGCATTTCTTAAACTAAATTAACTCAAGAAAAAAACCCAGGCCTCCACTTTCAATAGCTAAAGAATCTATGGGCAAAATAATGTATGATGGGGGAAGCATCAGAAGAAGATGAAAAGAATGCACAGAGCCAATGTATCTAAAAGGACTAGTCCACATTCAACCATTTCAAGAAGTAGCAAATGAGCATTAACCAATGGTACTGAAGGAAAAGTTCAAGCTGCACTGAAAGCAGTAGCCAAAAACAAGACTCCAGAATTGATAGCATATCAATTGAAACATTTCAACAGGCTGGTGAAGCACTGGAAATCCTCATTTGTCTATGCCAGGGGAACTGGAAGACAGCTACTTATCCAACTTGTTGGAAGAAATACATATTTGTACCCATTCCAAAGAAAGGTGACCAAACCGAAGGCTCAAATTATAGAAGATCATTGCTATCACATGCAAGTAAAATTTTCTTGGGACTCATCCAACAATGGTTGCAGCAGTACATTGACAGGAGCCACCAGAGGTTCAGGCCAGATTGAGAACACATAGAACAAAGGATATCATTGTTGATATCATATAAATCATGACTTAAAGCAAAGAATACCAGAAAAATATTTACTTGTGTTTTTATTGATTATGCCAAAGCCTTCGACTATGTGAAACATAACGAACTATGTGGATCATAACAAACTGGAGAAGAATGGGAATTCCAGAACAGTTCATTGTGCTGATGAGGAACTTGTACATGCATCCAGAGGTACTTATGTGAACAGAAGAAGGGAATGCTGCATGGTTTAAAATCAGGAAAAATGTGCATCAACTGAATTTTCTCACCATACTTGTTCAATCTGTATGCTGAGCAAATAATCAAAGAAGCTAGAATGACCCTTAGAGGCAAGGATGGTGAAAATTCATCTCAAGTATTTGGGGCATATTGTCACGAAATAGTAGTCCATGGAGAAGGATATCACACTTGGTAAAGGGAAGGGACAGCAAAAACATGGAAGACTTTTGGCAAGGATTAACACCATGGCTGAGCAATAGGCTGCAATATAAGAACAATTATGAATATGGCACAGGAACATACAATGTCTCATTCGTTATCCAGAGGGCTACTATGTCTTTCAGGATGCAACTCTGACAGCCCCTAACAACAATCCCCTATAATGAGATCTAACATAATTTCATCACCCATAAAGAGATGTGCTATGAGTAGCTGATCAAAAGAAAAGACATTTACTCAGGACTATGGCCTGCTACCAATATAAGTGGACACTGTAGAAAAGAGTACTCTTTTTTTCTGGCCCATTTGTGAGAATTGTGCCCTTCTTTACATTGTGTTATAATCCATATTACAATCCTGGATTTTCATCAGCAAGTGCTTCAAGTCCTCACTCTCAGTCAGCAATGTTGTGTCATCTGCATATCACAGAAGCCTTCTTCCAATCCTGATATCTCATTCTTCTTCATATAATGACATTTCTCTGATTATTTACTCACCATACAGATTGAATAAACATGGCGAGGACATCATGGTTGCCAAAGTAGAGGGTCAATTTAAAAGATGAAGACCGACTGGGAGATGGATTGATAGTGGTTTCAACATTGAACTCAAGTATAACAGTTAGGGGATGACCCAAGACAGGGCAGTGTTTTGTTCTATAGTACATAGGGTAGTTATGGGTCAGAATTGACTAGACAGATACTAAGAATAGCCACAAATTTTACCAGCACTTGCTGTGAAAGTGCATTCACCGTAACTGAAAAAATGCAGTAATTATTTATATATAATATTACATATATAGTATACATAGTCTCTGTGTATAATTTATGAAAAGTCTACTTATTTGTAGAAAGAGAAAGTTCTATGTAGAGACTGTCTTGATAGGCAGTGTGGAGGAAAAGATAACTAGGACACTTAGTAGTAGTCCAAGGACATGGCTAAGCTAATGATTAGTTGTTGTTCCTGATTATCTGTAAAAACAATTGTGTTAGAGCTTGAGTCAGAATTTTACAATGTATATAAAATGCTGAATATCAATTACAGGGGTGTATAATAGCACCCCAATAAGAGGTGAAATGTAATAATTAATTTATTATTAAATACATTGGCACATGAGTGGGGATTTTGAAAGGGATTATCTTTGTGCCATAGCAAGCAGCTTAGTGACTAACTACTTACTGTAGTATGAATCTCCCACTGCTGAGGATGGAGGATACTGTTAGATCCATATACACTTCTGGAACTGCTATAAGAATCTGAGCATTAAAGAACCATTTTTAGCTGCTTGTGTAAATTAGAAATATAAATATTTGCATGAATTGTGTATATTCTCTCTGTCTCTGTCTCTGATTCTCTCTCACTGTTTGCAAGTTGGTTCTGATTCATAGAAACCCTATAGGACAAAATAGAACTACCCCTGTGGGTTTCTGAAACTATAACTCATCTTTCTTCCAAGTTTTGAACTGCTGACTTTGCAGTTAGCAGCCACCACTATGTAACCACTATGCCACCAGAGCTACTATATAAATTTAAACTGGTAAACAAACTAATAAATAAATCTTTTTGTTTTTATCTTTTTACATATATATATGATTTTGTTACACTAGAAAACTCTTTGGGATAGTTCTGCATTTTCCAATCTTCATGTTAGCAAATATTATCTTCCCCTTCATTAATGCACTAAAAACTCAATTGGTCAAATAACTCCATTGGTATAACTTTATTAACCATTTTGTTGGGAAAGAATACTGGCTATCATAGAGTATATGAGTATTACATTCTATTTCCAGCATGTTGGTGTTGGGAAAATACAATTTATAAAAGTCAAATAAGTATTTTCATCAACATTTCTATGGTATTTGTTTATCATTTTATCTCCCTTTTGATCCATTTTAAATTTGTTCTAGTTATTAATGCCCTCTGCTTTCTTTTCAGTTGAGGTATAAAACACTTTGTTCTATTGTTTGTTTGTATATCTTTCTGTATGTGAAATCCAGAATAGATAAGTCTTTAGAGACAGTAACTGGATTAATGGCTTCTTGGGGGTTTGGTGGGGGAAACGGGGAACTAATAACAGTGAATACACAAAAAAAGCAATGTTCTGAAATTAAATGTCGTGATTATTGTACAACTTTTCTTAATATGGTTGAGTTACCGAATGATATGATGTGACTTCTATGCCAACAAACCTGTTTAAAAACAAAACAAAAATAGCAATTGATCTTTACTCGTGACATGTCCAAAGAAAGCAAATGCTCTTTTGTGATCCATAAAGTATACATTGGTTAATTTTCTGAAGTTAAGCTTGGCCTTCCTTTTTTACTAGTAGCTTTGTTGAAACATATCCACAATGGGTGACACTGTTAGAAGTTGAAATACTAGTGCCATAACTTCCAAATTAACAGGAGCACGCAAGTGATCTCAATACAACAAACTGGCAGACTCACTACCCATATGTCATAGGATAGCTTTGTGCAGCATAAATGGTCTTAGATACATAAACATTTTGTCAGAATCACATAACAATGATCTTTTCATTAGAAATGAGATATTAAATATTTTTGATATTGGTTGGGAGCAATGTGAGTGAAAACATTTTAAAACTGTGAAGTGTTTTATATATGTCAAATAAAATTGTTTTTAGAAGAATATTAGGATATGGCAACATGCACCCTCTATTAAATGAGGGACCAGATTTTGTGATTTCAAAATTTGCTCCTAGTTTCCACTTCTGTGCTCTCATGACCGGTCACCATGGGCTGTGGGTGGACTCTGTAGTTATTGAACACTTACACCCTCACTACATGTGTTCAAAGGAAATTTTTAAAAATATCTTATAAGTCAAGAATGCATATATAATAATTAAAGATTTTCTCTGTGTGTGTATGTGTGTTCGTTTTTGTTTTTCACAAACAGTGGAGGCCCTCCATTTGGGAACATTAATGGCTGCCCATGGCTATTTCTTTCCAATCTCAGATCATGTCCTCACACTTAAGGATGATGGTACCTTTTACCGGTTTCAAGTAAGTTTAATGAAATTGTTTTCTAGTAGTAAAATAAAAGCCAGCATTTCCTTGTTGATTAGCTTTCTTTTCAGAAATATTGAAAATGAAAACATTTTATTTTGATTTAGGCTCTTTAGAAACCAATTAATATTATATTCAGGGCAGAAAAGTTAATAAATACAGAGAATGTTAGAATTGCTTAGTTAAGATAATTTGTGGCAAGCTAAATTATGTTATCATTAAAATTATATTTTAAATTAAAAAGAAGAGAAATTCAGAAAATGACCAATTAGGATTTAGGATTGTTAGAGAATCTCCATATCTATAAATGGCATTTACCTACCAACGAGAAGCTAGAGCTATGTAACCAAATTTATTCTTATACCTGACCATTATCCAGAAATATCTTTAGTCCAAATAAGGATATTCGAAACTCTAAAGTAAAAAAGGAAAAATACTATATATTTTGGTGCCTGCAGTTCTTCTACAATACTAACAGGCATATTATTTTTTATGTTAAAGACAACTTAAAACAAAAACAACTTAGAAAACTTCCAAACTCTTCAATGTCATTGCATATTATTTTAAAATGATACAGACATAAATATTCTTTAAGTAAATGATTGTAGATTGTAATTTGAATCATTTTGTATGCAGTTGGTACTTGACTTCACAGTAATCTTTATTCTACCTTTGATTACACTTTATGAATCATCAATAACTGATTTACAGATTATAGCTTATAAAATTAAAATATTGTATTAGAATTCATTCTCTAAATTATGTATTGTAGGTAATTTGAAGAGATTTCCACCAGTGTACAATTTTTAGATGTTGGAGCATATTTCTCACTCACTTTGAGTTCTACGAGATGCTCTACATCTAAATAAAGGCATCATAGTGGTCCGATGAGTTAAGTATCAGGTCAGTAATATAAACCCATCAATTGTATCAGAGACAGAGGATGTAGACTGATTCTGTAAAGCTTTACAGCCTTAGAAATGATGGAGCACTTCTATTCTGTCCTATCAGGTCCCTACATGTAGGAATTATTTCAATGTCAGAGTTCTGTTGTTATTGTTTGTTTGTTTTTTTATAAGGGCTTCAAAAAGTTCTTTGAAAAAAATGTATTATCTCTTAATTCCCAATTTTACATAAATTTTTAGAAATAGGGAGCTGGTGGTAGAGATGTTTAACACATAGACTACTAACCTAAAAAGGTATGGCTGTTTGAATTCACGTAACGATGTCTTGGAAGAGAGACCTAGTGATCTGCTTTTGAAAAAGCATCCACTAAAATCCCTATGGATCACAGTTAGTTCTACTCTGACACAGTTGGCATCACCATGAGTTGGAGCTGACTGAATTGTAACTGTTTTACATTACATTAAATCAACTCCAACTCATGATGATGCCAAGTGTGTGAAAATAGAACTGTGTGTGCATATATATGTATATATATATTCACATATATATGAATAGTCCTAGAGTGCGTGCCTAAAAACTTGCTTAAGAAAACTGAAAAAAAAGGAGTGAATATATTTAAGGAAAATTATTTCTAAAAGTTTCTCCTGAAACAATCTCTCTTCCCTTTCCCTCCCAACTCCCATCAAGTCAACTTTGAAGCATGGTGATCCCAGTTATATCAGAATAGAACTGTACTCCACAGGGTTTTCAATGGTTAATTTTTTTGTAAAAGTTAGTCACAGGGCTTTTCTTTCCAGTTGCCTCTGGTTGGACTTACATCCCAAAGTCTATACCAGTTGAGCTTTAATCTTTATGCTACAAAGGTACCTTCCACTTCTTTAGTATTCTTATATCCCATGATAAATAATCATTGTGTTAATCTGGGTTCTTCAGAGAAACAAATCCACAGAAACTCATACGTATAAGAGAGTGTTTTATATAAAGGATAAGTACACATCAAGAAAACATCCCAACCCAGTGCTGCCCAAGCCCACAAGTCCAACATTAACCCATATGTCCGACACGAATCCACAAATTTCTCCCCCTTCTTACAAAACACATGCAATGATGCCAACTGCAGAAGGAAAGCCAGATCAGTGAACGAGTAAACATCTCAGGGGTCTACACACAGCTGCTCCAGCACCCAGGGCTGCATCGGGGTAGGTCCATATGGCTTCTCCTCAGGGCTGTCTTGCAGGAAGTCAGCCTTGCAAGCTGAAGCAGGGAACTGCTAAGGTAGCTGCACCCTGGTTGGTCCATCAGAAAGCAAGAGACCTGAGAACCTGAAAGGCGAGGCTCACTGAGCCATTTATCCCTCACCCTTCAATTAACCCCACACGTGTTTTATCAGCCAGGTTGGCACAATAAACTTTAACTATCTCAATCATAGAACATTTTTTCACTGAATTACTAAGAAACAAAATAGTCTCGTGAAAACGTGATGCTAACTTAAGTATTCAAGCAAGTTAAAAATATTTGAATAAGGGAGATTTATTCTTTATGCAGTTAAACTGAAAGCAATGGTAGCTGAAATAGCTCATTATTAAATTAGAATTACCTGTGACCCTAAGGTAAACTTTTTAATAAATAAAAATTATTAAGGACTAGCAAACATATTTTTATATGTGACCAAAATTGCCATAAATATGCTCATAGCACACACATAGTAAATATGAATAATAAATACAATATATCCCAAGACACTGATGGGCTTTAGTCACTGCTCCATTGAATAGGGGCATCATCATCATCTGCCTAAAGATTAATATTTAAGTTAACAAGTGTTTAAAGTTTTCCCATAGACCTAAATCTGTACAATTAGCAAAGCTATAAAATAAACTCAATTGCTGCTGATAATCATAGTGTCTATCCTGGTCAAATATTGTCTTTGTAGTTTAGTCAATCAGTTCGTAGAAATATACAGATTCTGAATTATGCATATTAGTCAAATCCATCAAATAAGATATAACTAATTTTTAATGACTTCTGGTTTATACATTTTAAAAATTAGAGTAATAGGTGTATTTAGGTAGTCATGTTTTTAAATTGAGAAGAAAAAGATTTTTTCATGTTTAACTAAGTGTGATAATTTACTTCCAAATCTCTTGAAAGGCTTTTGATAGTTGAAGCTTTGGGTTTACTGACAACTGTTGAGCTACATGCTGCACAGAATGTAATTTGATATATTTAAACACATTTTACTCTGAAACTTACTGAGTATTCTGTTTTCAAGCTTTTTGTAGATTATGGATAATGAAATCAGACTTTTAGCTTGATCAGTTGGTATAAAATCTTAGCAAAAGTATGACAGTTTAAATACCTGCTGATTTTGCACATATTTGGAGTCAAAGCAAATGTAGTGGGTAAAAAATCTTACATTGCCTCTCTGGGCACTTGTTCTGGAGTTTACAAAAATAAGTTATTACCCAGTAATCAGGTTAACTGTTGAAGATGAAAAGAAAACCGAATAAACCAGAAACTCTGGCAATCCTTTATTTGTCTAACTTGCTTTTCACTTTTTTGTTTCCATAGACACCCTATTTCTGGCCATCAAATTGTTGGGAACCAGAAAATACAGACTATGGTCAGTGCTGTATCTCATCATTTTATTATCCAAAGTCAGTGTGTTATGATGAACATGTAGTGTTCAATGTAAGCCAATATTGCTTACATGAAATCTATGAGTGATCTACTTTGGTTATTCTAAAAACTTATTGCCAAGTTTTCAGTGAAGTAGTTCCCTCATTAACCATAAATGAAAACTGTAAAGATTAAAGAGCTGGAAACAAATTCACTACATTGTATGAATTCTGACACATAGTGATCATATTGGACAGAATAGAACTTCTTTCTAGATTTTTAAATCAATTCTTACATTTAGTGAATGTATTGGACAGAGTAGAAGCAGTCCACAGGCTTTTGAGAGTATAAATCTTTACTATAAGACATACAGTATCATCTTTCTCCCAGAGTGACCAGCTGCTGTATTTGAACCATTGACCTAGAAGATTAACAGTCCATCACCAAATACACAGCTCCACTAGGCTCATTCCTTAGAAGTATTTCACTGCCATTGAGTTTATTTAGAGTCCTAGAGACCCTATGGACAGACTAGAACTATACTTGTGAGTTTCTGAGACTATAAATCTTTACAGAAGCAGAAAAGGTCATTATTTTCCTATGTAGCCTATGGTGGTTTCAAATTGCTAACTTTGCAGTTAATATCCTAAGGCATAATCTACTATGCCACTAGGACTCCTGTGTTAGTCTGGGTACATTGGAGAAATAAAACCACAGAAACTCCTATGTATAAGAGAGAGTTTTATATAAAGGGTAAGCGCACATCAAGAAAATATCCCAACCCAGTGCTGCCCAAGCCCATGTTAGCCCATTTGTCTGACACCAATTCACAAACTCCTCCTCCATCTCACAAAACACACGCAGTGATGCTGACTGCAGGAGGAAAGCCGAATCAGTGAGCGAGATGACAGGGGTCTCCACATAGCTGCTTCAGCACTCAGGGCTGCATCGAGGTAGGTCCATGTGGCTTCACCTTGGGGATGTCTTGCAGGAAGTCAGCCTTGCCAGCTGAAGCAGGCACCTGGCTAAGGCAGCTGCATCCTGGTCCGGTCATCAGAAAGCAAGAGACCCGAGAACTTGAAAGGCGAGGCTCGCAGAGCCATTTATTCCTCCGCCCTTCAATTAACCCCACGTGTTTATCGGCCAGGTTGGCGCAATAAACTAACTACCTCAATTCCTTTTACAAGTATGAAAACAAACCAACACACAAAAACTCAATGCCATAGTCAGGATATTCATCAAAGTTAAGGCACTTGAATAAAGAAGTAAGAACTGCTGATTTGTGGATCCCAAGTTGTGGAGAATGTTTTAGAAGCCTTTGTCCCAACTTGGTTGTTGTCTAGAGTTAATATCCTTAAAGAGCATATTCTAGTGGAGGGAGCATTCTAGTGGAGGGAGCACGCATATAGCTAAGAGAAAGCTCTTAGCAAAAGATCAAGGAACCCTCAAATACTAGCACAACTATGTAAGAATAGTATTTCATAGACTAAGGTAAGGGCCAATTTTCTCATTTTTTAAGGCAAGAATAATAATATTGATTTCCTAGTGACATTGGAAAAATCCAAAGTAATGTGTCTAAAGAATACTCAATAGATGGACATTTTTATACCTGTGCTTGCTATCTTACTTCTATGTGGAAACACTCATGGAAAAGCATTTTTTTCTCAATGAATCTTCCAATCCATCTCTCATGTTTTTCATAAATATATTAGATATTTACTATTAGACCTCCTGGAAATAACATCTGACATTGCACTTAAATGATTACAGAAATGGTGCAAAACCACATTTGACCTCACAATCTGTAGTCCCAGTGGCATAGTGGTTAAGCATTGGTCTGCTAACCACAAGCCAATTCAAGGGAAAATGATGAGGCTTATTCGGCCTCTGTAAATAGTTAGTCTTAGAAATCCAGGCGGCACAATTTTACCATGTCCTACAGGGTCCCTGTGATTCAGAATCAACTCGATGGTGATGATTTTGTTTTTGGGTTTGGCTATAGGGGAGAAGACTAGCCCAAGGTATGTTGAACATATTCTTCAGTTTTAAGATTTTCTAGTTCTACTTCCTTGCACATTTCATATTTGACTTTGTCTTCTCAAAGTGTTCTTTTGAATTTTCTGTTCAGCTCTTTGATTTAATCATTTCTTCCATTTGCCTTAGCCACTCTCCTCTATTAAGAGCTTGTTTCAGAGTCTCTTCTGACATGCAAACTGATGCATCTCTTTCTTGTCATTTTTGTTTTTGTTTGTTTTTTAAATCATTTTATTGGGGGCTCATACAGCTCTTATCACAACTCATATATATGTCCATTGTGTCAAGAACATTTGTACATTTGTTGCCATCATCAGTCTCAAAAGAACCCAAACCCATTTTCTTTCTACTTGAGCCCTTGGTATTAGCTCCTCATTTTTCCCCTCCGGCCCCCACCCTCCCTCCCTCATGAACCCTTGATGATTTATAAATTATTATTATTTTTTCATGTCTTACACTGTCCAATGTATCCCTTTACTCACTTTTCTGTTGTCCATCCCCCAGGGATGGGGTTTTGTATAGATTATTGTGATCGGTTCCTCCTTTCTTCCCTACCTTATCCTTACCTTCCTGGTATCACTACTCTCATTATTGGTGCTGAGGGATTTATCTGTCCTGGATTCCCTGGGTGTCCAGCTCTTATTTCTACCAGTGTACATCTTCTGGTCTAGCCAGATTTGTAAGGTAGAATTGGGATCATGATAGTGGGGGTGGGGTGGGGAGGAAGCAATTAAGAATTAGAGGAAAGTTGTATGTTTCATCATTGCTATACTTAACGCTGACTGGCCCATCTCCTTCCCAACAGCCTTCTGTAAGGGGATGTCCAATTGCCGTCAGATGGGCTTTGGGTGTCCACTCCACTGTCCCCGTCATTCACAATGATATAATTTTTTTGTTCTTTGATGCCCGATACCTGATACTATCGACACCTCATCATCACCCAGGCTGGTGTGCTTCTTCCATGTGGGCTTTATTGCTTCTCAGCTAAATGGGCACTTGTTTATCTTCAAGCCTTTAAGACCCCAGACACTATATATTTTGATAGCTTGGCACCATCTGCTTTCTTCACCACATTTGCTTATGCACCCACTTTGTCTTCAGTGATTGTGTCAGGAATGTGAGCATCATGGAATGCCACTTTAATAGAACAAAGTGTTCTTGCATTAAGGAAGCACTCAAGTGGAGGCCCAATGTCCATCTGCAACCTTAATACTAAGCCTATAAATATGTGCACATAGATCTATTTTCCCATCCTTATATATAAATATATTTACATATGTACATGCCTATATTTAGACCTCTATAAATGCCCTTTGCCTCCTAGTTCTTTCCTCTATTTCCTTTTACTTTCCTTTTGTCCCACTCTCATGTTCAGCCTTCATCTGGGTTTCAGCAATTCCTTTTGGTTACATTGCCCTTGATGAAGCCTTACAGGCCTCTTTTCTTGTCATTTAAATGACATTTTGCTGTCTTCATGGATGATGTTTTTGATGTCATCCCATAATTCATCATGATTTCTGTCATTTCTGTTCCTGAGATATTCTCAAAATTCAGGTGGGATCAACTCAAGGTGGGTTTTTGGCCCTTGTGCACAGCTTTCATTTTCTTCAGCTTCAGCCTGGATTTACTTATGGGCAATTGATGGTCTTTTTCAATAACCTTTTTTAACTGCTGATATTGAGCTTCTCTTCCCACAGATTTTGTCAATTTGATTTCTGTGTATTCTACCTGGAGAAGTCCATGTGCATAGTTACAATTTGTGTTGTTGTAAAAAGGCATTTGCTGTGAACAGGTCTTGCACTTCATGTGATCTCCAGCATTGTTCCTATCACCAAATCTATGTTTTCCAACTATTAAGCCTTCCTCTTTGTTTCTAGCTTTTGCATTCTAATCACCAATAATTATCAATATATCTCGATTGCATGTTTCATCAATTTTCCATTGAAGACATTGGTATGATTCTTTAATTTCTTCATCACTTGCTTTTGTGGTTGGTGCAGAAATTTGAATAGTAGTTGTACTGATTTGATTTCCTTGAATGAAGATAGATATAGTCCTATCACAGACGGCATTGTAATTCACAATAGATCTTAAAATGTCCTTTCTGACAATGAATTCAGTCATTCACTGTCACCACTTCTCTGTCAATTTGTTGTACTGTGGTGATTTATGTGTTTCTGTAATGCTAGAAGCAATGTCACTGGTATTTCAAATGCCAGCAGGGTCACACAGAGTGAATCGTTTTCAGAGGAGCTTGTGGACTAAGAACACATTATGAAGAACAAACTGGAGGCTGACTTTGGGGGAAATAGCTGCTGAAAGCCTTATGCATAGCACCAAAACATTGCCAGATACTCACTTTAAGGGACTTTACTGGGGAAGTTAATAGGTTACCCAAAGTCCAAATCAGGAAACAGTAAGGACAGAGCCACTGGTCCACATCAACACCTTTCCTATCCAATTCTCTCTGCAGTCCTTAGCCTTTCAGCCACGGCCTCTGCCTGTATGAACCAGGAAGATAGCTCACTGTTCTGTGTCAAAGTCTCAGCACTTCTCTTCTGTCTTGTTGTCTTCTTGCCTCTTATCTTGACCTGGATCCTTTGTTGTGCCCAGGTTCTACATTCTAGAGCCTTTTCTACTGGTCTCGTCATCCCCTACTTCAGCAATCAATCTGGATTTTGCTCCACTAGTGGCTGTTCTTTCAATAGTCCTGGGATTTCTCTCTGTGTTGCTGTGTCTGATGTGGCGCATTCTTACATGGCAGTCTGGTTATCTTTTTTATTTTTTTAATTAAAATTATTTTTCCAAACCCAATATGATTTTATTTTTTTATAATCAGTTGATAACTAAAGTAGGAACCTAGCATTTAATTGTTTTTACTTCTTGAAGGTATTTTTTTTTCTTTTAATTTCATCATTTTATTTGGGGCTCATAAAACTATCACGAGCATCCTCTGATGTACCTGTTGTT